GAGTAAGCACCAGCCCGCCCGTGCTTACCTTACTCCCGGAGACCCGGTCCTTCTCGGGAGGGGAACAAGGGAAAGAGCTCCTTTAGTGAACATTAAATGCTCAGTCTTAACACTTCGTATTGATTAGAGGTTGAGTTTGTTCATGAAATAAACAAGTTAGTTATTGTCCTCATTCTTCACTCAGTCTTTATTTTTACTGGTTATCTAGAATATTTAATACGTTTTTAGAGCTGCCAAAACTAAATGTAATAGGTGGTGTCCTGGGGCTACAGCTAGGCTTGCTCGGCTCTGATCAAACACTTTACCTTTGGCAGGCCTTTAATACTGCTTGCTAAATTCTCATGCTTGGCTTGTTTACTTAAGTTCTTAGAAGTTCTGAAGAATGAAAATGCTGGGCAGACTTATTTTGGTATAACTCTTTGGCTAAGCCAAAGATGGTTTAAATATTATTTGTATCCTTAAAACCTGTCTTAAAAACAACCAAAAAAAGTGGATATTTTGTATTTTATTTGTTACTGAGTCTGATTTTCAGAGTCAGTGACCTTAATCCAGGTTAAATAAATTTCTGGCCTTCCTACTACCTGTAAATTAATAGCAAAGCCTGTGTAATTCAGTTAATTAAGAAAAGGCCTGAATTCCATAACCCATGAAGCATGGTAAGTAACTGAGCTATGTGTAGCTTTCATTTTCCCACTCTCCTCTTTGGGCAAATAGCTTCTCTGACTCTGAAGATTTAGACCAAAGGGAAATTTTTAGGTCTCCTGGGATTAGTTTTTTGGGGAGGTTATGAAAAAGGGCAGAAATTACTTTCTTTTCCCTAAGTAACATAAGGGGCTGTCAACTTTCTTTGTATGATGGTAGATCGTTTTGGTTATACTGTTTTCATCTTAAATGCTTTTTGCTTCTGTTTCAGAGTCTGATAAGGAAGACAAACCCCGCAGTACTGTCATACCCAAGGAAGTGACTCCAGCACTGTGCTCATTAATGAACAGTTATGGTAGTCTTTCAGGATCAGACAGTGAGCCTGAAGGTAAGTCATGGCTTAGGTGGTTACAGTTAACTTGGTTTTGTTACATTTTACCTTTGTGGTATACTGTGCATCATTAGCATCTAGGATGCACGTCTTTATTTGATCTTTAAATTCCTTTTTCATTTGATACAGAAATAAAATTAACATGGGATAAAGGAAAGCAGGAGGAATGGGGAAATTTGTTAGTACTCTGGGAAAAAAAGCAAAAATAATACAATATACATAAATATACATAAAAGAATAGGAAGAAGAGAAAATATCCACTAATGGTCTGAAAAAAAGAAAATACTAAAAGATGTAGCAAAGAAAGTTAATTTCTTCTGTCTGCTCTCAAGAACCATTGTCTTAGCATATTTAGCACTTTTGGTAGGTACATTGAGGTTGCAAAAACGGCAAGGAGACCACATGTTCTGACCTCCTCTAATCCCACAAGAGGAAGGCAGGATTACCAGCAGTAACCCAAGGCCTATTCCTACAAGGCCAGACATGCTGCCTCCCTCCAGC